GCATGCAACCCTCCTGGTGGAGGGTTTAATACGAGAGGCTCGTGAGAGCAGAGATGGCTCTACGCTCAACAAGTGTGTCTAGTAGAGGCACTACAGGCTGAAACTGTCTTAGATAATATGATACAAGTAATCAACTGTACTGCCTATTTTAAAGATTAAACCACCTATCTATCCTTTGAAACGTCAGTTTCGTCGAGCAAGAGATCTCCTCTCCTACTCTCGTACCGTTCAGCTGTAAAAGGCAAGTGAAACTGTGACCATCAGTGAACACCTCGATCCACAGCATAGTACGATAGTATGCGTCAAGTCAACATTTCTGAAACATACGGTGATACAATTCTGATGCTTCCGATTACATGGCTGCAAGCAGCCTTGAGTAAATTAATGCCTCACACCACTGTCAACACCATGTAACTCGCAGAGGAAATTATATACTACCTTATATATCCTGTAAATGACGTTTAAGGTCGCAATCCATGTAGATAACGGTGGCACGAAACGAAACTCCGCAAAATAATCCACCAGATCACGGAGAGTACGTATAAGGAGGCAGGAATAAAGACAGTCCTGAAGTACATACCAGTCGGTATGTAAGCTACGCCAGCGAGCAACCGTAATTGGGCGCCATTGTGATAGAAGACCGGCACACACGGCAACCCAATTGTTGCTAGAGGGCAAGGGCGCTCTCCATGGCCCAGTGCATGAGTTCTGGAATAACGACCAATTGTCCCGTTTCGGGAGGTCGTGAGGCGAAAAATCGTTCTCGGGGAACAATGCTCCTCGCGCCTCGCGTCCAGGCATCAATGGACACCTTTCCATTAGCCGTTACGCAACGGCTCCTGGGCGCGTCAACACCGCCGAAAATGACTAACTCCTATTGTGTAGCGTCTATCAATCTGTCAGGAAATGTGCCGACAAATTTCGGACTCAGAGCGCATTGTTATCATTTGAATACGGGTCACCACAAGACGACGCTGAGGAAGAAACTGCAACAGCTTAATGCATAGGGAGCGACAAGGTTGAAGCAGGCAAGCAGAAAAGCAGTCAGTAAGGGGCATCAAAAATGGCTGTTTTCAAGACAGACACTGTTTCGGTCACAAGAATACAAACACTGGTAAAATGAGTGCATGTAATACGAAGATCTGTTGACCGTCTGGGAATCAAACTTGTTCCTCATAAGTTTTTTAGAGTTTTGACCCGTAATTTATTAACGGCTTTCCTTGACGGATGGTTGGGAAACCAAGCGGTAAAAGAGAGGTGGAAAAGTTTTACTGGTGGTCGATACGTTTCGTTAGCAACACCGTTAACGATATACAGAATGAATAAAATTATGCTGGTAACGAAACACGTCGACTATCAGTGAAACTTTTGCATTTCTTCTCTTTCACGTTTCGGTTTCCTAACCATATATCAAAAAACCAATCCATTGAAGGAATTCGTTGCTACTCTCATCGCCATTGGTGCTAACAATGCTTCAACCAAGAGCTTCCCAAATTTGCTAATGCCTGAGGCTTGCATTCAGCGTTGTACTGTGCTGCATCAAAAGCCGTTACGCCACAAACTGTTGCCAGTTCGTGTTGTCCTCCGGTGCGTCAGTAGCCAGCGGCAGGTTCTTCTCAGACAAGTGCCAAAGCGGTTTCCGTTCTTATTTCTTATTCAAATCTCTAACGTTCTGGTGCATAGCTTTGTGAAATACTTGACACTTCATGAGAAGCAGTTTAGCCGCTTTATAGCGTACTGTTGCGAAACACGACAATGGAGAAACTTTGACAATCGGACGTTCCAGAAAACTGCCAGTAAATTTTACAACGTTGCATTTAGCGTGATTTGGCGAAACAGTACGAAAAGAGAAACTCTGTAATCGAAATCATAAGCCATTTACTAACCGCAGTCGTATACGGTCAACGTAAAGTCAGAAAACTTGTAAAACAGCTCAAACTACGTACAACGAAACTGACCATTACCGTGGCAACCTGAAGCGCCAAATATATAACTGAGCTACGGTTTCAATTAAGACACTTTCCCACATTTGAACAGCCTCGGTATTCTAACTCTTTTAGCGTTTGACGATAATGACAGTAGCACTTTTTAAGAAGTCTTAAGGAAATACTGCACAATTCTGGACAACATGCAGATCGAATCGAAATTATGACATTTTGGGATTTATTCAAAACGTACTTAAATCTTTATTTGGCAATTACTCTATATTTTGCAAACATTAATAATGCCGTTGCAAAGACTTCTGGGATCGTCAGAAGCCTCTGAACAACAGAGTTGCACGCACTGGTTGCTCCAGTCTATTTTTAGTGACATCTCAGATTGTAAATAGGTGTTGCTGCGGCGAACTTTATGCAGCTCTGCTGTTGCCACGAGTTTCCAACTTATGCACTCTTTCCCGCGTTTAAGTGACCTATGGTCAGTTGCGACCATACGTTTCGAACATATTTCTAATGTATTTTGGGGCACTTTATCAAATTAAGTTAGGTGATGATCTGAAAGTAGCTTCGGCAGTTTCCTCAGACCGAGAGTCAACGCAACCTAATCGTTCATGGTCAACAAGTACCACAGCACTTTCAGATTACCTCACAAAAAGTTGCATAAGACATACGTGTCACTTTTTGAACTCACATCGTCCTCTTGCTTTTCACAATCCTCTGGAGCCTCCAAGCAAGATGCGGATCCATGGCATCAAACAACCTGTAGCGCGTTGGTTCATGGATGATATGCTGTAATTTCGTGGAGCCGTGGTAGTACTTGCAAGCTCCTTTAGTCACTAGAAGCAAGGCGAATATAGCCGTTGAAGCCCAGCGACGTCACGGAAGAGATAAGTTGCTAATCGGCACTAAGGAATGCTGGGGCTTGCTCGAAAGTATAGAATATATCATGGGTATTTGTTTAAATTGGTATAAAACTAACGCCATATTTCTGC